TTCTGAAACATAAGAACCTCCTGTGACAAACTCCTGAAAAACTAAAACCTCCTGTGACTTCTGACAGACAAGAACTTCCTGCGACAAACTTCTGAAACATAAGAACCTCCTGTGACAAACTCCTGAAAAACAAAAATCTTCCTGTGACTTCTGACAGACAAGAACTTCCTGCGACAAACTTCTGAAACATAAGAACCTCCTGTGACAAACTTCTGAAACATAATAACCTCCTGTGACAAACTTCTGAAAACAATAATTACAACCTAAAGTTGAAGTAGTTTCATCATGTGTTCAATCATATGGAAATATTTTATACTCAAATACTGTAAACAAGACTTGACAAACAAATTAGAGAATATGATTACAAAAATACATGTTGGAACTTTCTCGTTAACAACAATAAATCATTGACATCTCCGAAAACACCGCATCCAGAGAGAAAAAGAATCTGATCGTTCGAGATGTAAAAACTTTTAGAGTTTCCATTTTTTATTTTAACAGGAAATTATTCAGCGTAATTAAGGTTCTCCGGCTCTTAGAAAAACGAACAAACAATGTAGAGCATCCACAGAGAAGAATGGTGAAACTATATTCAGTTTTTCAAATAAAAAATTGCATTTTACCAATATTGTTACACTTGAAACCTACGTTAGTGAACGACTATTTGACAGCTACAATGTTGATCCCGCTACGTTAGTGAACGACTATTTGACAGCTACAATGTTGATCCCGCAAAGAAAACAAACATTGTTTTTCGTAATAATGAAACAAGTTTAAAAATCGTTCTGCCCGTTTTTAAATCAACTCAAAACAGTTACTTTAATTAAATTCTAGTTGTAGTAATATTGATTTGTTTATATATATATATTGATCAACTCTGGATAAAAATTATTCTATACAATGTCATTCTTTTCTATAATTGTTACCTATGTGTTTGTACTAACCTTTAGCCTGAAAGAAAACAAACACGTTTTACATGTTACAACTAAGCTCTTCGGTAGTTGTTAAAGAAAACAAACACGTTTTACATGTTACAACTAAGCTCTTCGGTAGTTGTTAAAGAAAACAAACATGTTACAACTAAGCTCTTCGGTAGTTGTTAAAGAAAACAAACACGTTTTACATGTTACAACTAAGCTCTTCGGTAGTTGTTAAAGAAAACAAACACGTTTTACATGTTACAACTAAGCTCTTCGGTAGTTGTTAAAGAAAACAAACACGTTTTACATGTTACAACTAAGCTCTTCAGTAGCTGTTAAAAAAACAAACACGTTTTACATGTTACAACTAAGCTGTTCAGTAGTTGTTAAAGAAAACAAACACGTTTTACATGTTACAACTAAGCTCTTCAGTAGTTGTTGAAGAAAGCAAACACGTTTTACATGTTACAACTAAGCTCTTTAGTAGTTGTTAAAGAAAACAAACACGTTTTACATGTTACAACTAAGCTCTTCGGTAGCTGTTACTTGTATGTTAATATTTTAACAAATAAAAAGCATGTTTTACTCGTTACAATTAAGTTATTTATTTCTTCAATACTTGTCACCAGTTTGTTTCCATTAATATTTAACCTGAAATAGAAAAACAACGTAGTTTACATGTTCGTTAAGCTGTATTATAAGGTCATACTGATTAAGGATTAAGTTGCGAAGCGAGTTGTTTTGATCCAGTAGCTTAAAAATTAATATGGATTATCAAAGTCATAAACTGGCTCGTTCCAAGTAGATGAACGGAGAAAACATGCACTGAGATTACATTTATAAGTTCTTGTCGTGCTTCATTAAGAATGATGTTCTCATATGAGCTTATAGAGGAAGCTTCACGTCAGAGCTGATGATTGAAGAGGATTACAATTGACATGAGTCGATATTACGGTGACACGAGACATATAAACTTGATTTGGCAAGAAAGGTTGCTTAGAAGATATAAAACAGAGAGTCGAATTGAGTTAATTTATTCAGAAGATAGATAGATAGATACTTTACCATACAACTGAATTTCTCCTTCTGTCCTACCAAGACTGTTTATAGCAATGCATTTGTACATTCCGAAGTCGAAAGGTTGAAGGTTTCTAACTCTGAGAACACTCTGGATTTGATATTTCTTTATCGCCACATCTATTTCGTGTTTCAATCCAGAAGTAATTTTCGTGTCAACGTTCTTGTCCCACACAATCTCCGGAAATGGGAGAGCTTCTATATGACAACTCAGGAGAGCCGTGGCTCCGAGGTGAGCACCAATTTTACTGTTTTTAATCTTCACCTCGGGTTGAACTGGACCAAAAAAGACAAAAAAAAATGACCAATTGTTTATTTGAAAAAAAAACCTAGTGGCAACTAACATTTCTTAAAAAATATATTCATGTCATAATACTTATTTTTTTAATCCATATCCACAACTCTCCCTTCTAAAAGTACACTTGAAAAAACCTTAAAGTATTAGAGACTTTAACACAAAGGGATTAGAGAACCATAACAAAAGAAGCTCCACCTGTGGTTGTTTTTAAAAAATTAAATATATAGTGATACTGAGGTGCTGAAATAAATGACCCTTAGCACAGAAAAACAGGATCGCGCATGTCCAAGTGACTAACATGCCCGGAATGTGAATCCGAGTGTTTTCTTGTTCGTGTCCCGTTGCCGAAAAAAATGTGCTCCGCACTTTGTGGCTGTGGGTGCGTTATAGGAGTGTCAGTCAAATTCCAATATTCGAACAGACAAGAGTAACTCAAGAACTAACGGTAAATGCCTTCCCTCTAATCTATTAGTTTAAAATTAGGGACCGTTTCACTTTGAGCGAAAACTTTGTAACTACAAGCAAAACACTATCATGTGTATTTTTTTTGCTTCAGAATATAAAATTTTCATAATTATTTAGGTAAAATTGTTCTTGCGAAACATGTCAGTTTTTTTTTTTATTATAGTCTGTTTGTTTAGAAATTTCACGCGAAGCTACACAAGAGTTATCAGTTCTAGTTTTGAATTTATAGACTAGGTGGAAGACAGCTATTCAACAGTGCTCACTGTCTACTCTTGTCTCATAATAGTCAGTGAGTCTGGTTCAGAATTGCGCGAGATATTATATTTAATTATTATTTGCACCATTTTCACAATAAATCACGTGGGAAAAGGG